TGATTTAGGAACTTCACTCAGCACAGTTGTATTAGATTTCATTCAGGGTTTTGTTCATTACAATAACTAAATCTAGAACTGGGATCTAGTAATGGAGAACCATTTGTGCCAATGAAAGAGACTTTAATGGCAGAAATGCAAATTAAGTAAAAACAAATGCATATCAGTGTACACAAAGTGTGAAATATTTGTTCAGCGTATGTGCTGATAATTTCAACCCAACCATCTGTTAATTTTCTTTTCAGGGTCTGATTCTTTTATTATTCATTTATAAAAATATAAATTTATAAAAATGTATATGGTTGTTCAAGTCAAACCTTACAAAAGCCCAATATAAACACAATAAAAAACCTCATTCTTCTCCCCCCAGTGACAACAATCAAATAAGTCACCTGATAGTCACCATCCCACTCTGGGGTCCCCAGGCCTATTAGCAAAAGCAGGTCTTCAGGGCCTCGCAAAAGTATATCAAAGTAGAAGCCAGTCTCATCTATGTGGGGATGATGTTCTGCAGGGACGGAGCCACCATGGAGAAGGCCCTTCTGCTTGATCTGACTAGGTCAGTGGTTCTCAACCTGTGGGTCGGGACCCCATTTGGGGTCAAATGACCATTTCACGGGGGTCAGCAAACCATGCTGTCCGCCATTTTTTTCCCTTTTCCCTAGCTGTCCTACTCCCTCTTACTGGTGGCCACACCCACTTGGGGGTCACCACAACATGGGGAACTGTATTGTGGGGTCACGGCATTAGAAAGGTTGAGAATCACTGGACTAGGTGGATCTCCTTAGGAGAAGGGACTCATAGCATTCCCCGCCTCCCCACTCTAGTGAGTCAGGTAGATGTGACTGGAAAAAGAAGGTCCTTCAAATAACTTGGTTCCAAGCCATGTTAGGTCTTTGAAGATGACAATCCATATCTTCAGTTAGATCCAAAAGCAAATCAGCAGCCAGTGCAGATCCCATAGGAAAGATAAGACATGTGCACATCTAGCCCTGCACAAAACCATGTGGACCACTGCATTTTGAACCAATTGAAGTTTCTGGATATGTTTCAAGGGCAGCCACATATACAGCACATTGCAGTAGTCAAGAAAGGAGAAGACTAGGACTTGAGTGAATGTGAGCAGGAATTGTGGGTCCAGGAAAGGGCACAACTGGCATAACCCACAGTTGCACAAAGGTCTTCCTGGTTACAACTGTCACCATATGTCTATACATTTCCATACATATCTCTGCACATCCGCACACTTGTGTGTCTGTTTTCAAACACACCTGCCAAGGTTCAAAATCATTTCTGTCTATCAGCCATTTAGTTTTTTTTTTTTTCTACATATAACAACCGGAGTGATTTAATGTCTATATCTCAACTTCTTTCCCTTTCTAATGTGCTGAGTTGTGGAATGCTGGTTTTTTCAAAATAGATTGCCACTGAAGAGTTTTGAGATTTCAAACAAGGTGCACAATTAATTTGTGGAATTTGCTGCAACAAAATGGAATATTAACATAGGCCATTTTCAGAGATTCCAGGTGCATTTTAGACACTCCAGAGACAGGAACAAATTAATATTTATGGAGTGTGTCGAAGCCATAGCCTATTGGAACCATTGTACTCATAATGTTATTTAGTGTTAACTGTTCAGAGCAGCATATCTGATTGTTTTAAACTAAAGAGATTCAGCCATGAAATACCTAAGTAAGATTTGGAGCTAAACAAGCTGTTGTTTCAAGCTACATTACATTATATATTTATCTTTTTATATTAATTAATGTGTACTCTTTTTGCTGAAAATCATATAGTATGAAAAAGATATCTACTTGCAAAGTAAATAATAAGAACATTTAGGAAATAAATATTAAATATAAAGGACATTTCTTATTATAGTGAACAATTGCAGAATGCAAAAAGTATTGATTTTTTTCAGTTTTCAAATAATTAATCATGCTTTGAAAGAACTTGGCCAAAGATGCACTTGGAATGAAGTGCATGTCTATGAGATTTAGACATGTTGGCAAGTGCGTGAGATTTAGAGATTTTCATTTTTTAAAAAAATTCTATTTCCTACAAAAACATAACTCTTAATCCCCCCCAGATTTTTCCTCTCTTCAATAATAGAAGATATTGCTTGAAACAGAATCTCCTGCACAAGGAGAATCTATTAAAATCTATTATGATTGGGGATGAAAAGGATAAAAAACTTCAAGTTAAAATTACAACTTTTGAGAGAAAATAAACATTGCCAAGTATGTAGGTAGAGTCGCTTGATTTCTAGAGAAGACTTGAGGTTTAACAGGTATAATAAATAACTGGTTTAATAATAATTATTAGCGCTGTTGCATGCTGATTGGGTTTTGTGTGTCTACATGTGTGTGTATAAAGTAATATTTCAATGAACAGCTGAGTTACACAGTACCAGTGGGCATCAGACATTTAATTGTATCCAGACTTCTTGTCAGTAACTCATATCTGGATAAGATCGCTTTGAGTTATTTGTTTAACCTATTTTACGTTCCAAAGTATTGAGAGAGAGTGAGAGTGGGAAAGAGAGAAATAGAGAGGAAACTAAACCCTATGTGGATTTGAAGAAACAAAAAAATCTGAAAATCTTGATTTGAGAATGTTCAGAAACAAAAATTACTTCTTCTAAATATCATAACAAGAATTGTTTTTTTCGATGTGGATATGTTCAAAGAGATTTTTAAAGGAACAAAAACCCCAGGAGAAAATTACTCTTTTTCCTTCTCCTTTTCTAAAAAAAAATAGCACATATATACTGATAAAGACTAAAAATTGGGAATGTAATCACGCATGTCAAAGAAAATCCAATAAGTGCAAACTTGTAGCATGACTATATCCAGTGATGATAAGAACTGAGCAGCCCAAATCTATCTTTATGAGTCTAGGAAATTTTATTAAGGTAAATATATGAATGCATAATATAGAAAAACAGAAGGAAAGGAGGAAAAATATTCTTGATTAAGAATCGGCTAATTGTAAGGATCTCCTCCTGGAGCCTGTCAGTCAACTCTCCTGCAGCACACCCGATCCTGCTGGACAGATAAAAACAATTGGACAGAGACAGTCCCATAAGTAAATTGGTCCCAAGCCATGAAGGACTTTAAAGTAGTTCTTGGCTTTGAGTTTGCCTTAAATTGTGCCTTGAATTGCACCTGGAAGCATACCAGAAAACAATGCAGCTCATGGTGCAATAATGTCACATAAGCAGAATAATCAGTGACGTTAACTGCCCATGCCACCACATTCTGCACCAGCTGAAGCTTCTGACTGATCTTCAAGGAGAGTCCTATGTAGAACGCATTGTGGTAGTCCAATTTGAAAGTCTTAAGGGCATGGATGATCATAATAGGGGCCCCTGATCCTAGAATGGTCTATATTATAAATCAATATATAAGGAACATCCATGGTGTGTTTTCTGGGACATGAATGTTTATGTACTTTGGCATACAGATAATACTGTATTATGACCTGAGAACATATAGATTGTTTAATGTAACAGCAGCCTGAATCTGAAAATTAATGTATCAAAGACCCGCTACCATAATTCTCAACCTATGACTACAACTGGGGTTGGAAATTTGGTCATAAGTCACTACATTTGTTGAGGCACTTATGTGAACAGACCTAATATTTTCCACCATTTTATGGCAGTTGTTAGGCAAATGACAGAGTCATAAGTCCAAATCATGTGGTTGTTAAGTTAATCACATGGTCATCGAGCAAATTCATTCACTCATATGGGTGTATTTTGTCAGTAACTGCAAAAAAAATGGCAAAAAAACCCCAACATTGCAATTCACAATCATGAGACCATGCAACACTGCAATCAGACATAAATGCATCCTGGTTACCAAGCACCTGAAATCTGTTCATGTAACCAATGGAGGGCATGCACAAGATTTTATGATGTCCAAAAGTGCTTTACAGGCTGCAAAGCGCCCTTTCCGAGACCGTTATAATTTTGAAAGGTCGCTAAGTGACCAATTGGAAGTCAAGGAATACTGTAGCCACTATATACTTGACAGGGAAAATGGAGTGGATAATTGCAATTCCCTCTTGGCTGTTTAGTATATTTATGATGAAATGTGTAAGGAATTCATATAGTAACAGTATATTGGTTGGAAACATAAAAAATATGTGTATTTGGCAATAATACCAAAGTATTTTGCTGAGAAGCAGAGTGAGGGCAAATGTTATATTGATTGTGAGCTGCAACAAGGAGTATAAAACTAGAGCAAATGAATGAATTTATGTATTTTGGATAGATGATTACTTAAGATGGAAAAAATGAAAATTTTTAGGGTATGCAAATTCAGATAGAAAGATGGTGTGCAATGTTTTGACAGGAATGAATATTTGATAAAAGCATTTTAAATTATTGTATATAAGAACATATTTCTGCCTACTTTGTTATACATTTGGAGAAACAAAATAAGTGAAGAGACATCCCAGTTCAGCTCCCATGTAATCTGCAGATTGAACTAAATTACCGCTGATTACTGTGACATCTCTAGCTTTTACATGAGATCCCTACCTCCTTTTTTCATATCCCGCCAGTGTTTTCACCTCTGCTTTCACTTTTCCTGTTATATTGCGAACCCTCAGACAGGTTAAAAAAAAAGTCCTTTCTTTTTATAAAAGGCAGAGCAGCTTCACCAAGGCAATGGCAATAACATCATCAACAGGGCAAACCATGCCTTTGCCCCTTATGCATATAAAGCATAAGTGGAAATATAATTCTTTTTATATCAAGCAGAATCTGTACCTAAAGCTGTAGAAGGAGAAAAGGGGTCAGATTTTAATCAGTCTACTTTGTATTAAAAAATACAACTCCTTATCTGGATATAGGATAAGCAAGGCTTTAGAATAAGCGACTGCTCTTTCCCCTGAAATAACCATTTTGGCCACAGTTCATCTGAATTGAGTCCCTAGGCTATTTTGCCTCCATCCCCAAACCATTAGTCCATTCTTTGTTTACACTGCAGGTCCCAAAGTTTAGTAGTGCATGCTGGTCATATGAAGAATATCCATGCAGACAGCAAAGGAGAAGGGGAGAATGGAGATGTTACAGCCAGCATCTCTTTCACTGATCTGTATTTGAGCCAAGAAACCGACAAATTGCCTTCCAGTGCAGGTTCTGAAGAGTCCCAGCTGGAACAATCCTCATTTTCACGCCCAAGTATCAAATGTTCAGAACCAGAGAAACTGCCAGAACCTGTTAAAGAAAACTGCCACGAAGAGAACCCAAAGACCATAAAGAATCCCATGGAGTATCAAGATAAGCTTTACTTTCATTTAAAAGAAAATCTCTGTAAAGTGAAAGCATATGTCATGGAGATGGGGAAGAAAATTCCATTCCCAGACGAGTGTCTTATAGAAGGTAAGCGATCTCAAATTTTGAAAAAAGAAGAAAAAGAAAGAAAAACAAACATGGTGCATTAAAAAAAAAGTACCTTAAGAGATTCATCTGAGCCACTAACCAGCCTCCTTTAAGCATCAACATTTTAAACTTGTTGAAACATGTTTTTACATATTGATCCCAGGATAATAAGTAATTTCCACACTTCAGCATCCTTAGCCTTACAGGCCAATTGATATTTTACATTTGCCTGATTTCTGAGGTCTCCCATCAGTTTATTAGAATGTTCCGAACAGAGTATTCTGAATATCTTGGGGACATCTGTGCATTAAACTAGGGCTGGGCAATTTTTTTAAAAAAAGCATCTTCCCACTTTTGTCTCTTTATCCAGCAAAGTTCTGTGGCAGCTTTCTGCTTCATTCAAAAATCGGCAGGACTGGTTTGATGAGACTCCATATGAGACAAAAAAAAAAAAAACCCCAAAATCATGAGTGGTCTTTAGATTAAACTTCTAAGATGGGTGCTCTCCAAGTGAACTGATCTACAACTTTCATATTTTCTAGCCATTGTAGTCACAGAATATACCAACTGGAGATTATTTTACTTATTTACTTTCTTATTTTTCTGCTTTTCCATCGTGTACTACAAAGAACTGTCTTCCCCAATATTAAACTCCTGGGATATAGTTTGAACTGAGAGTGTGATTGCCCCAAATCTGCCTGAGCTTCCATGGTGGAGGATAGGATAAAAGTGGGGAAAGTAAAGATCTAGTCTACATCTTAATCACTACACCTTTTGAGGTCTAATATACTTGGTATGCAACAGGTTGGAGAAGGTTTATTTTATTATTTTTATTTTATTTATCAAATTTAGACACTACCCATCTTTTTATCTAAGTAAGGCTTACAGAAAAAAACATACAACTATATAAAAAGACATAAAACAAAATAAGAAATAAGAACAGAGATAAAAATGTTGATTAAAAGATGGAAGGAGCACTCAGGACACTATCACCAGGGTTACATGCCAAGAATAGCCTCACATAGAGGTTATGCACTGATTGGGTCCAGCCCAAGAAGAAGGAGGTAAACCAGTACAAAACTGTTTCTCCCATCCCCAACTTTTGGAGCTGACCCAAAAGGATACTATGATCAATAATATCAAAAGTCATTGAGAGGTCAAGAAGAACAAGGATGAGTGCATTATCCCATCCTGCTCCAGCCAGAGATCATACAAAATACTCTTTCCATTCCATCTGAATGTGAACCCTGATTGAAAGGGGCCCATCTGTTTCATCCAGGATTCTGGAGCTCTAGCACCATCACCTTCTCAACTTTTCCTAAGAAGGGGATATGGGAGAGTGAAGAAAGTTATCCAACATGGTAGGATCTAGCAATGGCTTCTTCAGGAGAGGGCACCCCATGGACTCTTTAAAAAGAACCCCATCTCTGAAAGATGAATTAACCATAGTTGACTCACCATATGTAACCTCCCAGGTGGCCTTGACCAGCCAGGAAGAACATGCATCTAGTTCACAGTTGATTTCATTTATAGTACCAAGGACCATGTACATTTCCTCAGGTCCAACAAGATCAAATTTAACTAGGATCACTTATGCTCACCTGCTGCATCCACCTCTCACAGAGGCTCTGGCCATTTACTTGCTCCAGCTGTTTGTCTGGCCAGTTGCCACTTGTCTGGCTGTTTGCCCAGGCTCATTCCAACCACTTAACCAGGCAGCTTGCATGGAAGAATCTGCCTGGGTGGCTTGATTAGTTGCTTCTCTGGGCAGTTCCAATCACCAGTTTGGGTCTACTTGACTGCCCACCCTTTGTTGCCTGAATGCTGTGGCTCCCTTCCCCTGCTGCTTGCTTGGGAGGTTCCAGTTCCAGTGTGGGCCTATTTGTCCATTCACAACTGCTTGCTGCTCACTAACCACTAGGCTCTGTTTTGGCTCTTCAAGGAGGCCATCAAATGCTCCAGCCTCTTGGTTGCTCTGGTCACTCAAACGGGCTCTGGCTATTCAGCTGCTGGCAACTTACCTGAAAGGCTCCAGTTGCCAGTGAGGGTCTGCTTGCCTGTTGTCCACTCACCACTCACTTGCCACACAGCTGCTGTTCAGCCCTTTAAGGAGGCTACAGCTTGCCACAGTCACACAGTCACTCTGACCACTGCCTGTCATTGCCATTCCATAAACTGGTTAGCAAATCCGCAAGTCTCCTCAAGTCCAAAAGAACTAGGCAAGGCTGAGAGACCCCAAAGACCCCAGGTAAGAGCACTGTGAATCTGGGGAAGCCCCCACTCCCAACTCCACAGCCATTCCTAGAAACACTGCAACACGCATCGACGCCCATCTGCCATCTTGATATCCTGAATTGGATTAGTCTAGGAGAAGGAAAGGCTCTCTGCAACTACTTTCCAATCTGCCTCCAGCTTCTGAACAACTTTATATAAACATTTTAAATACATAAAACTGTACACCTTTGGACTTTTCAATGGATCCTTTGTTGGGAGTATATCAGCAGAAATAAAGTGATTATTAATTACTGACTATAATACGTATAATATGTATACATATAAAATATTTATTATTTCATACATATTTTCCTTGCAGTATCCTAATACAAAAAATACAATGGAAGGAAAAGAATGTCTAGACCCCAAAATGATGTTTTATTATTACTGACAGTTGAGTGTGAAACCTGCTGAGATGTAAAGAATCAGAAGATGAACCCAGGTGCTCAGAATTATTTTGTAGGTCAGGCTGTGAATGGGATAACTGTATACTTTAATGGAGGTATATATACATTGCATTACAGGATCTAGCCTTAATCTGGTAGCAATCTCAGATATTTTGCTTTTTCCATCCCTCCAGTATTAGAATGGCCATTCACTGGTAAGCAACTATAAGTAAAAGACTGCTTGGCTAAATGGGTCAAGAGTTGGATACACCAGGGCACTGCCTGTGTTCTTATGATTCAACTCATCATCAGCAAATGTCTCTGCTAATCCAGGATAGCAACACAGAACAAATGATCAACCTGTGCATTATATAATAAGCTGGTCTAGCCCAGGGCTAAAATTGCCACCACATAGAAATTCCCCAACATCACACCTAATATATTGGAATTGCAAATCATAGCTACTTGAAAATTTTAACAATTGTAGCACCAACACTTTTGAAGAGTGTCAGTTTGGGGAAGGTTGTGCCTTTGCAGCCATATTTTAATAGCTTTGTTAAGCAACAACAATGTATACATAATACTGATAGCCGCAATGGAATAAGCAGTGATGCAATATAGGATATTAAAATGCAAAAAAAAAAATTCATCATGGACAAAATGTAATTGGATTAATCAAAAACATCCTTCCTTGTCCCTCATTAAAAGACTACCTCAAATGTTGACAAAAACCACATTTTCAGCAATCCACTACTGCAAATGAGATATATATTATCTTACCAATAGAAGAGAATATTCATAGTTCAGAGTTGAACTCTGGAATCCGTGGTATTCTCTGAGCTTAGCACTGATGATGTTACCTAGTTGGGTAATGAAATGTCTGCAAGAAAACCACCAAGCTCAGAGAATACCAAGGATCTCAGATATTTTCTTTTCAGAATTATACAGGTTTTTTTTGACATACCCCAATGTAAAAATTTTTGATGCAAAAAATATCCTGAAAAATGGAGATATGGGCCAAGAAGATATACATCCTTGACATGTAACAATGACAGTCATGTTGAAAATCCTGTCTTTCAGCTCCAAATGTCACAAGCCCAAATGACTAAGCCCAAACCACGTGAATTAATGTTTCAGCTCCTTAATTGCATTTCCAGCCACAGGTAGTCATAAACAACCCTTGCTAAATAGTGCCTGGGTTACCCGATATATTTATACAACAGTATTTTCTGTTGCATTTGTTACATTGTTAGATTAAAAGAAAGCTGTGATCACAATTTTCGTCACTGCATTGGAAGAACAGGACATCTAAGCTTGTTATTCTAAAAGTTATAAATAATTAATACTGGCTTAATCTATCCTTCAGCTTTATAAAAACAAGATACTACTTTCAGAATCTCAGTACGTTCTTCCAAGATCTTTAACAAACATGGATCAGAATGTCCAAATAAACTTTCAAGAAAAGCTTTAAGGTGACTCAACCTCACTTTTAAATTCAAAAAAAAGTTTAAATATTCTTAAATCAACAGAGTTAAGCTGGTCCAAGTTAATAACAGTGCTGTTACATTTTCTGTATTCCTTTGTGACCATCCAGAAACAAAGTAACATTTCACATAAATGTTCCATGTCACTGTATGTCCTACAGTGGCAATGTTATGCCTTTGTAAAAATTAGTTTTTTCCAGGAGCACAATTAGAAAGTTGGATGGTTTCCCATGGAAACAGCCACATTTTCTCACAACAATGTTTCTTATAACATTATATACTTGTAATGCTTACTTGCTTAGTTAGTTAGTTAGTTATATGCCTCCTTTTATTATATTTTATAAATAAGTAAAGGTGGCAAACATACCTAATATTCCTTCCTTCTCTATTTTCCCCATAACAACAACCCTGTGAGTTGGGTCTGGCCCAAAGTCACCCAGTTAGATTTCATGCCTAAGAAGGGACTAGAACTCAGGTCTCCCAGTTTCTAGCCTGATGGCTTAGCTACTAGATCAAACTGGTTCTCCATATTATCCTTCCAAGTTGAAAAATGGAGAAGATGGCACCACAGCATGTTGGAAACGTTACTTTTATCTCACAACAAAAGAAAAAAGAAAAGAAAAGAGCAGTAGATATGTGTTTATTGGAACATGAAATAAAAATGATATTATTTCCAAATTTAATTCACTTTTTATAAATTCCCCCAAAGGGGAACAAAAGGCTAATTGTGCTTCTTTCCCTTTTCCCACCTACTTCTCAAGATCACTGAAAATATAATGGTCCAGTACTAAATAAATCTTCTAAAACACATTAGACACTTGAGATTGAATTGTGCTTTTCCAACACAGTTATTTCA